TGTAGTGGGATTTAGGGCATTTGTCATGTCACTGGATGTCCCAGTGTTCATATCCTTGGCAATAGTTGGCAATTGACTCATTTCAGTGGTATTTTCATGCAAAGTGTTAGATGTAGGTTGGGTATTACTACTTAGCAACATGGTATCTCCCAAAAGTGCTTGATGTAAAACTCTGCAGCATTGATCTCACCTTGTAATTGTTCTTGTTCCACTTGCCATTCTAGTTCTCTTTGATGATGTTTAAGCTCTTCTTGCTGTCTTTCGATATTTTGTTTCCTTTTAAGACTGAGCATTTTCTCCTTTAAAGCTGCAGCATTCGCAGCGGCTTGTTTAGACGACACAGATGAAGCCCTTGATAATCTCGACATTCGACTTTTAACACTGTTCGAAGTTTTCTGCGAAAGCATCTCCAATCTCTCTTGTGTTAAATCACCTATTCTAGTTTTAACATCAGCACAGCACTCTAAGTACTTCTCACGAATACCCTCAAAATACACTTGATCCTCAATGTTAGAATTATAATCACTCAAAGACAATAATAACAAATCCGATAACTCTTCATTAAATCGCTTAAAGTCATCCATATCCATTTGTAGACCATCTTTACTAGCAGTGAGCTTCACAATATCACAACACTGTTCTCTAAGTAATTCATCTATACGATTTATACGAGATTCTACAGCCATACCTGACTTTTTCGTCTTTTTTCGTGCATTTTCTAAGTTTACTTGTACGCCCTTTCTTGTGCATATTCGTGCCTGTTGTTCTTCTGCATCTACGCTTCGAGTACTCCCCGTATCGTCTTCTGTATTGATTACAATGGACTTATCAATATTACCTTCGTCTTCGAATAATTGTTCGCTGTTCTTTCCCTTCGAGATGTTCTCTTCTAAGTCTTTTTCGCAGACTTTCGATCATACTTCATCCGTCTTATGACCACCTGGGTCCATAGCCATACTATATTCTTTATATCTTCTTGTAAATCACAAAATATATCGGCTTGTCCGTATAAAATGTGTCATACTCACAAATATTCACACTTGAAATATACACGTTTGTGAGTCTCGTTGTTTACTGTAAATGTTCATTAATCTTTATTCATGTTTTATCTTTAGGTTACTTGGTTTTGGCCGGGTAAACAACGTTGATGACTCGGCCTTTATCTTGATTTACAACTCTTAAAATACAAAAAGCTTGTCCTTTCGTATTAAACATGTTCTTTTGTTTGTGTTCTTTCGCGCCAAAAAAGGCACGACAACGTACGAACGTTTCCGATCTGTACACGCGCGCGTGTCCACGCAACGCGAGCACTTACACAAACATTAACTTGAATGAAACCATGGAGCAGCCCGTTAATCCCGAGAACGACGAGCCAGTGGGAGAAAGTGAAACCCCATCTACTTCGAAAACATACGAAGAGCGGTTTATGGAAAACGTAAAATATTTAGGTCCTGTAAGACAGCGTATGATTCCGAGTAAGTTCAGAGACAATGCATGTCCAGTAGTTGAGTCTTTAACATTTGAAGTTGATGATCAAAAAAGTGTCCAAAGAGCGCTGAATGGGAAGTATGCGGAGGAATGGAAAGACACGACGATCTCAGAATATTCTTCCTTACTAGAAAATGATACATGGGAATTGGTTCCTCCCTGTGATGATCAAAACGTAGTCGGATCGCGGTGGGTGCTAAAGGTAAAGCGGAAAGAAGATGGATCAATTGATCACTTCAAAGCGAGAGTTGTAGCTCAAGGATACTCCCAAACAAAAGGAGCGGATTATGACGAAGTATTTTCCCCCGTGGTCAGACATACATCTTTACATGGACAGACATTTATATGGAACAACCGGAAGGTTTTGTTGATCCAGACAAACCAGATTATCTTTGTAAGCTGCAGAAAAAGTATCTACGGTCTCAAACAGTCTGCATGCTGTTGGAATGACATGCTCGATGGATACTTAAAGTCGAGAGGATACAGAAAAAGTGGTGCAGATGGTTGCATTTATGTTAAATCAGTTAAAAAGGACAGTGATACTCGGACTTTACGTGGATGATATAATTCCAGTTTCCAACAATATCCAAATGCTGAATTCAGAGAAGAAAGCGCTCAGCGAAAGATTTAAGATGGATGACAGAGGTGAAGTTCATTACCTATTGGGAATGCTGATTAAACAAGATCGAGAAGCCAGAGTTACTACAATTAGTCAGCGTAATTACGTGGAACGAGTCCTAAGCAAATTCGGAATGGAATCCACTGGAACCTGGGACAAAGTTTTCAGAGTTGTCAAATGAGGATGAAAAATTTGACACACAAACATACCAGCAAGTGATTGGATGCCTAACCTATCTTTCAGTGATTTCAAGACCAGATATCTCAGCTGCAGTGGGAGCACTTTCACAATTTATGGCAAAACCTAGCAAAGATCATTGGATCAGAGTGAAACGTGTATTACGATATCTTAAAGGAACTTTAGATTATGGCCTGAAATACTCAGCAGATGAAAACCCTACACTAGTCGGTTATTCAGACTCTGACTGGGCAGGCGATATTAATACTCGTCGATCAACATCAGGTTATGTATTTCAAGTTGCTAATAGCACAGTTAGTTGGTCGAGCAAAAGGCAGAGGACAGTCGCAAAGAGTTCAACAAAAGCAGAATATATTGCCTTAAGTTTAGCCGTGCAAGAAGCGATATGGTTACAAAGACTGTTATATGATGTTGGATTTAAAATCAGAAAACCGATAACAATCTTCGAAAACAACCAAGGACCAATAGAATTGGCAAAGAATGCCAAATATCATAATAGAACGAAACATATTGACATTTGCCATCATTTCGTTTGTGAACGCGTTCAGTCGAAGGAGATCAATGTAGTATATTGTCGAACAGATGATATGAAAGCAGACATACTAACAAAAGGATTAGCAAGATCAAGTTATGAAAAGTTAAGGGACTTGATTAGGATTACATCTGTTTGAACATTGTAATTTAATTGTTGAAGTTAAATTTATAAGTGAATGCACATTTTATCATGAACTCATTAAGTGGGAGTGTTAAGAATAGTAAGTTCCCCCGCCAAATTCTATAACGCTAAATATGATTGGTTAAAGATTAATGAGATTCTCTCCTCTGATGTGGACATTCGGCCGGACATGTTTTTAGAAAATCAATTCATATTATTAAAGTTATGTTTATCTTCAAATAAATAGTTATACAATCAAAAGTGAGTGAATATTTCAATAATTTATGCTTAATATATAAAGTGATAAAGCACATATTAAATAAACTATGGACTATTGTTAGTGAATCTGGTTATATTTGCTGATTGTTGAGAACAATATTTGGAGCCAGGGCTACATACAAGCACTGCCCAGCTCAAATATTAATCTTGAAATATACAAAGACAACATTTGAGGCACTGTCTCAGCACTATCATTGCAAACATCACTTTATACAAGTGAAGCTCTTTATAAACCCACTATTAAAAGACTCTCCCCTTGACAAGTAAAATCATCTTGCAGTTTAGACAGAGTAATGCAATACAGTAGAGGACACATACTTGAGCACATTAAAGATCGATTATCGATACACTAAAAATAGCACATTAAATGCTGTCGTTCCTCTCTGATTCGTATCCTTATTGAAGTACTAAAATGCAAACATATCTTTAAAAGCATTCGGATGTTTAATATATTATTTCATATCTAAATTATTTACCCAGCTTGACATATGTCTAGTCTTAACTCTTAACTAGCAAAGTGCCAAATTATGCCAAAGAAAATATTGCTAAATTGTTAATAATAGTGTGAAATTTAGTATAGAATTCACAATAATAGGTTCGAATTTATATTTCATTCTTTCTTTAATGCCAGAAACCAACATTTTGTATGTTTTATATGCAAATTGAACGCGGCAAATTCAAACATTCAACGGAATTTTAAGACACATGGCCCACATGGCTCAAGTTAACAATCATATTCACCACATTATTTTGCAATTAAAGTGCTTAAATAATAAGTCAAATACAAAAGTATTCTTACCTGTGACATCTGAATAACATGTTAAGAACTTTCCGATTCCTTTTCCACCGTTTGGGTTAAAAATATCAACGAAATATTCCAAGCACCGCAGTGACCATACCAAATAATTTTTATCACAAATAAAACGATGCTATCCCATGAAGCTTTGCGCTCTGAAACGTAAACTAGTCACCAGGGCTTCCAGTTGAAGCGTGAACTATTGGCTGTATCTTATATTCTTATAGGGATAAAATTCCAGTAGGAATGCTTGCATTAGGGACCATCAGGAATTATAGAAATCCTAGCTAGCTAAACACGTTGATACTAAAAACATAACCACTGAGTATTTTAACAAAATACAAAACAATTAGTGTAACTCCAAAGATCGATAATATATATCGATGTAGATCGATATCGATCTTAACAATATATCGATGTAGATCGATATCGATCTTTGGAGTTACACTTGTTTTGTATTTTGCTATAAAAAACAGAGTAAAAACATGTAATAGCAGCAATAGGATTCTATATTCTACATAACATCCTATACGAATTCCTATAGGAAATTCCTATAGGAAATTCCTATCGGAAAATTCCAATAGGAAATTCCTATAGGAAATTCCTATAGGAAATTCTATTCCTATAGGATCCTATAGGAATTCCTATAGGAAATGGCATTTCCTATAGGAATTCCTATAGGATCCTATAGGATTTTTTCATAAGGGAGGACCAAGCAAAAAGGGACAAAACACTGTAATGACATATGGCATGTAAATAAGAGTATAAACAAGCAACTGAGGAAAGTGAGCAAAGAGAACGGATGTGAAATAATCAATGATTGGCTAAAAGGTATCTGCAGGCATCTGTACTGGAGTGCACAAACCACCATTCCTGGTTTTGAGGACCTCATTGTGGCTAAATGGAAATCAACTGTGTGACATATGGCTGGTAAACATGACGATCACCCCTACCCACTATTTACAACCTGTGGCCACAAGGAATTGGAAGAACGAAAATGGATTCCTATGGGTACTGTTTTTGCATTTAAATCCTGAAAAGTGAACTAGCTTGAGGCAGAAGTTTTCTGGGGTTTTATTTGCTGGTTAATTGCCTAAATTTAATTGCCCAATTTCAATATAATCAAAATCATTTGATCAGCTGCCACATAAGATATGCCAATCTTCTATTTCAGTGTACTGTACTGTTGATCAAGTCCCATTTAACCTATAATCAGTCCCATTTAACCTATAAAACTAAATTTTACCTTCAAGGAACTGTTGCCTATGACCGGATCGGCTCAATACTATTGAAGCCACGCATCCTGAAGGACATACTCTAATAGAAATGTACATTATTTGGTTTAGCATTCTTACATACTTATTCAAATTCACAGGCACATATTGCCATTCTTCATTTTAATGAAAACGTGCATCGCAAGTGAAAGAAAACAAAAGACGGTCGCATCAGTTACAACAAATAAATAAATAAACATCAACTGGCCAAAATTTAAGCTGGGTGAAGAAGTTGTTCGTGAAGTAACAGTTCAGCCTTCTTAAGGTAATATTTTGTTTTAGTCCCTATCTACATCGCATTCATGTTTTCATGTTTGCCTGTTTTAGCATGGCAAACGCCCATGAATGTTATATCCCCATATTTTGTGCACAAATGTTTCTCTTGAGCAAACAAAACATGGGGAAATAACCATTCGGAAACCAGGTCATTGAGGCAAGAATGCAATGAACAATACAGTTTATTCTGTCCAAGTATCCTGAGTAAGTCTTTCTATTGGAAATAACCAATACAAAAAATGGTTGTTTACATGTTTATAACAGGTTTTATACATTTTATTGTAGAATATGTCAATGCTGTAAAGAACATTCTATTCTCAACCACTGAGGAAGATTTATCTAAAACTGTGGAAAAGTACAGAAAGAAAGCACCAGACCCTTTGTGTAAACAGTTTACAGATAGAAGATCTAAAGAAGATGCCATCAAACGGTGCAGGGACAGAAAAGCACTTGATGGCCAAGCACTTTTCCCTAGCTGTGAGTATATCCAGAACCACAACAAGATAACTGTTTCAAACTATTGTAATACAGTACAAATCATCTTCCAAAAACAACATCCTGGTTTGACTCAAAGCTTGAGTTACAAGATACTGTTTTTCAGAATATGTTTTGTCCCCGCCCCGACACTTTTGGGGGCCCGGGGCAAAATTCTCATTGGGGGCCCCAACCCCCCCCCCCCCCCCCCCCCCCCCCCCCC